ACATCTGTAGCTTTCGATCTGCACAAATCTCTCTGTTTATGCCAATATCTACATCATGAAATAGATTTTTAATTTTAATTCTAGAATCAGTCTGAATTAACAAGTTACTTATTAATTAACCTATATCGCAGCTCTTCCGGCCGTTGTGGAAAAGGTCTATACAAACCCCCAGTATGATGTCACTGCACAGTATCAATATTAGCAACTATTAGACTGTGAATTCTAACACCTACAATGTAACAAAAAGAGCACAGACCCCTAACACCTTTTAAAGACCTCATTTGCTTTTTACAGTCAATAGTAGATTTTATTATTTTCACAACCAAAATATTCATGGCGCACCTCAAAACACCCACCAGCCTTACTGTTTACTGTGCGGTAGGAGTTATAGCTGGGGGCTATTTGGCACTTACAGGGTATACGGCGTAAACACATTAAAAATTTAACATTGAATCTTCCGAAAGGCATTTTGTCCAGTATATAGCTGGAGTAAAATGGCTTGTGTAAAACATTTGCATCTTATCAATGGTCCATTTCCAAAGTATTCAGCAAGAAAATACAGTTGTTTGGGATATGGCCTCTGCTGGATATGCTGTTGTTTTTGTTACCATTTTAATGTTGCTCTTGATCTGAAAACAGTAGAATAATAAAGAAGATTTACCGCTATGACTGCTTTGCACAGTTTGATAATAAAAAAATAACGATAATGCATTATTCTTATGTATTGTTTTCCAGATGCTCAAAGTCACTTTTACAGTTTCATAAAATATTAATTCACTCCCCAGACGCAGTAGTGAGATACTTATATGCTTTTGTTGTCACAGCTGCCCTGCGTTAGATGGCTGCCAATCTGCATCTATTGCCCCTTCAACCAATAACAGTCAGTAAATCAGTCACACACACATAACGTTCACGCAAAGTTAATGAGGGTTAAAGGACCTACTGTGTATTACGCAGAATGGATTCTTGTGAGCTTTAAGACATGTTAGAATGTTATGTCTTCAAAAACATACCTGGAGATGTGTTTTGTTTCATTCACACATGTTAGGGTTTGGGTTAGGTGAGTAATCCTTCATTATTAGTCTGTCTACATCTCCCAAACTCAAAATGCAAGTGATATTTTTCAAGTTAACACCTGCCTTGTAGCTTTGATTCAGTAGCGATTGGAAATTCCTGGACTGAAATCATACAAATGATTCTAGTGAAGGTGCATGGAGTTTAAAAACACAGTAGAGCAGTTCCTATAACATGACATCACAAAGTAGAGTGTTTTCTGTTTGAGAGAAGAACTCAGTCTAAATACGCAGGATCTGTGTGTTAAACATGTGTAAATTAATCAAAACACAACTCCAGGTCTGTTTCTGATACAACCTTATAACATAGATCAGTCAATAGCGTAATATGGGCCTTTTAAGTACCTTGCTCAAGGACACGACAGTAGTAAGCAAGAGGTTGAGCTAGGCTTTGCTCGTCACAGTTTTAGTGGTGGGTACAAGTTATAACAGTAATGATAGTACTAATGGTAAAATAATGGTGTAATTGTAATAAAATTAATTGTGTTCACGTTAGATTTCATGAAGTCATAGTTTTCAGATAAGCCAACATAGCTCTATGGGATATTATATTCAATCTTATGATCCACAAATGTTGAACCTTATTATTATTTGTGCGGGACTGGCTCCACAAACATGCTGTATTAATCTTGTGGTTTAAAGTCCATTCAATCTTGTCTTTGGTGTTGAATAATGGCACCACTTTATGAAGGTACTGTGAAAAAATAAATTCCCTTTTGTTTACTTGCGCTGACAAAGAACGCGTTGAATTTCGTGTCAGTTTTTGTTTAATGTGGATAGGCCACGGAGATATTGATCAAAACCAGATCAACGAATCTGCAATCAGTCATTTAAACAGCAAATCCTACCACAGAATTATGACCTGTCCTGCCGCTCAGTTCTCAAGGACCTATATTATGATCTATGTTATAATGTTCTCATCAAAAACATATCTGGAGTTGTGGTTTGCTTCATTCAGACACAAGCTCTGCATATCTAAGCTAAGAGAAAACACTCCTTTCCACCTTGTGATGACAGGAAGTGTTTTAAACTTGGATGATTTAAGACCTGGAATTGCCAATCTCTACTAAACAAAAGGTAAAATGCTGGAAAACCATCACTTCATGGCATCACAAGGTGTAACAGAGCATTTTGAGCTCTGGAAATGTAGACAGACTAACAATAAAGGATGACTTAAACATGTGTGAATGAAACAAAACACGACTCCAGGCGTAAAGCTCATATGACTCAATTTCACGTAATATAAAACCTTTAAACTAAAGAAACCCTAGAATGTTGAAACGTATATGTAGAAACTATAACATTTCCCCCTAAAACTCTTCTGACATATTGATGGTTGGATCCTGCAGAGAGCACATTACAGCCACTCTATGTCCACTTGAACTTCACTTGTTTATGACCCAACTGTTTGATCCTGTGGCTGCTACTGCTCAAACAGAGGTGACTATAGTGGCAGTGGCTGGCCGGCTACCTCTCACCAACGCGTAGTACATTCTGGGAACAGTAAAATCCAGGAATCCGATGAAGTCACCCACTAGCTATTTCCCAGTCCATAAACGTGACAACATTTCTATGGAAAACATACTCTTTTCCACTCGTCTACTTCAAATCCTTTTGTAATTGCCCACTTTGCCCATACAGTAGAGCTGGGAATCACAAAGTCCCTCATAACACGATACAATATTATAACGATATGGTGATACATGCGAAAATGTATATATACTGTATGTGTGTTTAGATTAGTAACAATATTTCTTTATTAAACCACTACTTGTGCAAAGTTAATATGAAATACATCTATTTTAATAACCAAAACTGTGAATATGTCAAGTCTATTGCATTCCTTCCACTAAATAAACAACAAAATTGCAGTGCAGTCACAAAAAAATTACTAAAAGATACCAAAAAACACTCTTAGTGATATATCAATACAGCCACCCACAATAACGATGCTGTAATGCCAAATTCAGTGTCACAGTTTATCAGTATTTCGATATTCTTGCACACTCCTACCACAGAGTATGCGAGGATCCAGCTTTCATCTTGGAGCTTGTAGGACATGCTAAATTTGAAACCTTAAGTCAAATGCACAACTTTGGCACAGGAATAAAAAGGTCCAAACATTTTTTTAGCTTTAAGCCTAGATGATGAGAGGTGTATCGAAGCACGGCGAGTTCAAAGCTTCGTCCTGATAACGTTATTCGAAATGACAAGAACGTCTTTGGTGAGAGACAGTGATCGTGATGGATTTTGCCATTATTAGAAAGCAGATTATTGTAGATGATTTCAAGACATGCGCTTAAGCTTCTAGGTGGATGGGTAAGTGGTATCGTTTGACCCCTACAGAGTATTTAGCGAGCATCCTGTGTACTCCCCTTACAACCTCCCGGGACCATGGCGATTGATGAGATTCACTTGCACTATTAGGGACTAGGGCTGCTTTTATTTGACAGCCAGAAGTGAAGGAGCTCCTCTCCCCCAGCCTCTCCTGGTACTTTAAGCTAACATATGGTGCGCTAATGGAAAACAGCTCCCTCTCAGCTAAACAAGAGGGCGAGCTACCTTGACTGGTGTTCAAACAGGCTTTTACAAATTATCTGAGGGACGAGTCAATTTATTAAGACTCTAATGATATAATCAAAGTTGCACATGTTGGCCATATGTATAGCTTGTTAAAGGTGCACTGTGTAACTTTTCTGGTGGAGGGTACCTGAAATGCTTTACCACTTGGAGATGTTATTGCTTTGTCTGGAATGTTTCACAGTATGAAATTAAGGCTACGTTTATATGATGACGGTCTGAACAGAAGACGCAAAAGTGACATCGCGTTTTCACTTTATATTCCATTTTTAGACAAGCGTTTTCAGGAGGAAATCTGTGTGCATATGGTGACACAAAACTGTGGGTTTGATTGGGTATGCATGCCATCCAACATGTTTGTTTCTGTGTACTGTGTGTATGTGACGTAAACGTGTATGCGACGTGAGCAGATCTGACCAGAGTTTTGCTTCTTGGGCAGTGTAGACGGAAACGCTACGACGGAGCGTGTTCTGGATTTCCACTCTGGAGGGTGGTTTCAGATTTTTGAGTTTTTAAGCCCCAAAAACGCCATCACCGTCTAAACGAAAGGCGTTTCTGATAAAATATTTTGTTATTTTTACCCGCAAGAGTTCTCGTGTAAACAGGCCCTTAAACCTTTCTTTGGAGTCCAAAACAGACCAAGTTACAGGTCAGATCTGTGGAAAGGCAACCCCGCTCACAGTCAAATTGAAAGTTTTTCTAGGTATTACTGAGCTATAAAACCACCTGTAATTGAAAAAAGGGAAGGTAGAGCTGATTAATGTCAAACTGTGGAACATTCTATGCAGAGAAATGACATTTCCATGGAAACAAGCAGGTGACGGACCCCCAGCCAAAAAGTTACAGAGTGCATCTTTAAACATTGCAGATTATAGTAAAGTAACAAACCTAGAGTAAAAAGTAGCAGTAATTATAAAAGAAAAAAGTATGTGGTGGTGCATTCAATTTAAATAGTTTGTACTCCACATTTCAACCTTTGATATTACCTAAATTGTACTTGAAATAGCTGCAGTGTCAAAATCTTAATACTTTATCAATCCCAAATAAATAAGTTGTCAAAGCATCAATTCAAATAATATATAATTAAACACGTTTAAAATTTAATATAAAATAATAGATATAAAAATAATCAAGTAATCAAAATAAAAGTGATCAGTGTCATCTCTAACAGAATACGGTTAAATCTATGGTTTTATGTTTTTGAACTCTACTTACAAGTTTGGATGTCTAGAAGTGACACAGATTTTATAAAGAGTGTATCGAAATTAGGCAAATAAACATATGCCATGAGTGCCAACATCAAAACACTGTATTCACACAAAATCAAATAGAATAGAATAGACTTACTTTGAGCTGAGACATCTCCGCAGTGAGTAGGACGCGCCCCCTCCACAGGTACGAGAACATTCACTCCACGACCCCCAGGCGTCCCAAAGAGTGTCCCTGTCCTCTTCTGATCGGGCTGTCCTGGAGCTCTACAAAAAAACACACACAACATTAAAAACCATTAATGAGGGCTATCAAAAGAAACAAAAATCAGATACTAATCGATACTAAAACTAGTCTCGATACTAAAAAAGTCACAGCACAGGACAGAGATGAACCTTTCCTGAATAGTTTTAGAATGATCTTGAGCTGTATCAGATCAAGTATAAGAGCACATGGACAAGTACTGTATTTTCCGCACTATTAGGCGCTCTGGATTATAAGACGCACTGTCATTAAATGGTCTATTTTTTGAACTCTTTTCACAAATAAACCGCACCGGACTTTAAACGAAACACAACAGTTAGATGGGTCAGTGGGACTTTGTTTGGTGCGTTCACGGTGACTCTGGGCTTTGTTCAGTTGTGGCGTGTAGGGAGGGTGCTGTCTGGGACCACTGGATTGTTGGCGTGTTCGCAGTGACTCAGTTGTTCAGTTGTGTCTAGAAGTGGCACATTGCGCTCGCTTTTTCAGTTCGTTCCTCCGTTACGTTCCTTGTCAGTGTGGAGTGATGAGTGTGGCTGTGGGTGTTTTTCACTGTGCGGTCGCTGTCTGCTCCGTGTGTGTTTGCGTGTGCTGCGGGTGGTGCGGCTTTGTAGTTTACTGAAGTCGTGCTGGGACACAGAGTGGATTCGTGTAAAGGGCGCTCTGGATTGTGGGGCATGCGGTAATTTTTTATGGGGTAAGAGGCTTAAGAGCGCGCCCAATCGGAAAATACGGTATACGCTCTTGGACTGACATATGGCAAAATAAAGTACTATGATTTAAAGGTGCATTGTGTAACTTTTCTGGTGGAGGGTCCGCCAAATCGTCCATGGAGATTGGTTATTGCTTTGTCTGGAATATTTCACAGTACTGTATGGATTAAAACCTTTCTATCTTCATGGAGACCAAACCAGACCGATAAATGTAAAGTAGAGCTGTTTAATGTCATACTGTGGAACATTCCAGCCAGAGCCATGACATATCCACAGAAACAAGCAGGTGATAAAGTTACATAGTGCACGCTTAATGTTCTCTTGTCTAAATTATGAGTGTTTTATTTTCTTTGTGGTATCGGTATTAAGTATAGTCTTTTCCTTAATATCGAAATCAGCTCTGAAATTGTTTGTATTAACTAACTTTGCATGAAAATTCACACTTTTTCCTTTCAAAAGTTAAAGAAGAAAGCAAGTGCCCAAACTTACGGCGTTTTCAAGTGTGGCTCTGTTAATTGCATAGCTCTGTATTTGGCAGCAAAGATGACTTGTAATGCTTAAGGATCCAAAATCAATATTAGGAGAAGATGAATTTTGTGGACCCAAGGACAATTTGCACCTTTTTCACTCCCTCACTCTCTCTCTCGCTTTACAACTTTCAAGGTCTACTATTTTTGTCATCTTTAAGGTAATCTAATTCATGTTTAAAATGTGAGCATAAAAATATTTCACAAAACTGTATACTTCACTGCAACATTGTGTAACCAATTTGAATAACTGCAAATGGCTGATTTTGCTTTCTAACAACAAAAAAGTAGAAATAGTTGACAGTATTTTCAGGGACACAGGCGGTACGAATGCTTTTAGAGTTGATTAATGGACCAAAACCTACAAAAGCAAATCGGAGCGGGTGAAAATAACATTGGCACCAAATTGTTCACCTTCCATGGCAGCAGGAATGTTTTTCAATACCATGTGGTACAATGGCATTCTTCTGTAAAAGCCAAATCTGTAGAAAAAATTGAGTAGCTCTCTCCAACAATAGCTGTCTTTTTGATTTTAGCACAACCATGACTGTGCTTTGTATGTCTGAGCAAATTGTTCCAACACTTTTATTGTGAACTTTCGACAATGGCATTTTAACTCTACAGGATATGGGCATGGGTCTTCATGGAAATAAAAAAAAAAGAAATACAAAAACAGAGAAAAGCAATTATTTGAATAGATTTAGGCTACGTTTACACTGAAACGTATCACCGTGTCACCATAACGGAAATGATTTGCATCCAGACATGTCGTTTCTGTGTCTGCAAGCCTTGCCTATCCACACAGCTTTGCGCATATTTGTTTACGTTTTACAGAAACAAAACTTAAAACCACATGACCAATTTGCATAAACTAAGTGCTCAAAAAACAGCTCGCTATTGTGTGCTGATTCAGCTTCAGTCGGATTAAAAAGGACACGACTCAGTGGAATATGTGTGTTCTTTCTGTGACAGAGGGATGTTCTGCTGATGGTGAGTCTGTTCTGTGCTTCTATTGCATTGGAGATGATTCATGTGAAACTTTTCAGAGATAGACCGCATAGACTGTATATATAAATGGACATATATTCTAGCCTCTTAGTGTTTTGTCGGTGAATTACTTCACGGCGCATAGACCTTCGCCAGCGTATCAGCATCTTCAGGCGTCCACACAGTGCCGGATCAGATCTGTACTCACATGAATTCGTGGGAGTTGGCGGCACCAGATCATTCCGTCTCTGGAACCGTTTTTCCATCGGATTAGTGTGGATGAACACTGCATCCGCAACGAAAACAACTCGAATACATACTAGTGTGGATGGGGCCTAAGATGACAAACTGACTTTTATTCAAGCAGATTGTTGTTAAATGTGAATTGTTGTTTTGTTGTTGTTTTTTGTTGTTGTTTTTTAGGTAGGCTAGGCAGGCAGAAGACATAGTAATAGTATAATTACCATAGGCATACTACTTTTCACATATTTTATTAGCAATAGTAATAGTAGCAGCAGTAGTAAGTAAGTAATGGTAGTAGTAGTAGTGGTAAGTAAGTAATGGTAGTAGTAGTAGTCATAGTAGTAGTAGTAACAATATGAATGCATTTAAAAAAAATTAAGCAATAAAACATCTGTAATTGAATAAAGATATATTGTGGAACATCTCAGCAAAGCAGGTGCCAGACTCTCCTTCCAAAAACACTTAAATTCCTGAAGATTTGGAGACACATACTGCAATAGCCTCTGACTCCAAATAAATAAATAACTGTAGCGTTGATAGTACCAGTAACATGTGTAGTGGAGATATATTGGGAATATATTGAGCAGTACTTTTACTTGCATAGTCCTTCCAGAAAACTATCAAACTATGTTCAGGGCGACCCCACTCACCTCTGACACAACGCATAAGGAAGTCTAGTCTGTCAAGTTTATGTGTAGCACCTGCTCCTGGGAAGATTTATGCCCATGGAACTGACAGGACCTTTACAGTAAAACTACAGGATTGGGTAAGGAAGTTGGTTTGACCTATGTTGACCTTTCGTCCCAGCAGCGTGGCATTGTGCGGACCCTGTCTTCGAAGATAAATGGAGCACAGAGAGGAAAGTAGATACGAACCATAATATTGTTAGGATTGTTTTCTTTGGGTCGCGGTGGTGGAAGCCAGGGGAGAGTTCACATTATTAGAAGTAGACTGATATAAATGGCTGTCAGTGCTGATGAGACTTGGACTCAAAATACAAGCTGTGAATCGAAGCCTAGTACTTACTACCTACTACTGCAACTACTATTACTATTACTATTACTATTACTATTACTATTACTTACTCTTGTCACTATGGCAACTTGAAGCTATTATTACAGCTATAACCAATGTATTTACTACTACTACTACTACTACAACAACTACAACTACTACAACAACTACAGTAACTACTACAACTACTACTACAACAACTACAATAACTACTACAACAGCAACTACTACTACTACATCTACAACAGCAACTGCTACTACAACTAGTACTACTACAACAGCAACTACTACTACTACTACTACTACTACTACTACTACTACTACTACAACAACAACAACAACAGCAACTACAACAGCTACTACTACAACTACTACTACAACAACTACAGCTACTACAACTACTACTACAACAACAACAACTACAACAACTAAGCTACAAGTTAAAATATTTTTTCTACTTGTACTTTTTTTTTTATCCACTCAACAAAAAGAAATACTATTTGAACTAATGCCCCTACATATCATTATGATAAATATTACTATTGCCATTACTACCACTACAACCACCACAACAACTACTACTACAACTGTTACTGCTATACTGATGCTGTAGTGCTATATACTTAATACCATGGTAATAGTACATACTTATTGCTGCACAGAAACGCTAATAGAAACAACACGGATATGTTCCTAAAGAAATAGTAATTTAATAAATGGAATAAAGTAAAATACATGTATTAAAAGGCCCATATTACACTGTTTTCTGATCTATGTCATAATGTTGCTTCCACATCAAAAACATATCAGGAGTTGTGTTTTGTTTCATTCACACAGAGCATTTTGAGCTTTGAAGATGAACACAGACAATCATAAAAGATTACTCAAACATGTGTGAATGAAACAAAGCACAACTCCAGATATGTTTTTGATGAGGTAACAGAATTATGACATGATTTAAAGCTCACAAGAGTCAATTTGTGCAGGAATATGACCATTAAACCTTACAGTAAGAGTAACATTTCCAAAATATAATCAAGCAAAAGCAGGTATATATAGAAAATGTATTACTATCTCCACCAGAGCACAGCAGAGGATATAAAGCTCTAAACAGATCCACTGAAGCATGCAGCCAAACATGCCGCTACTTTCTTCACAGAGCCAACTATTTCAAAGTTTGGATCTTCTGTAAATAAACACGAACCGAAATCTGGGCCGATGTTGAGCACGCCACCTTCCTTTGAAAAGCAATCAGCGAATTTTGCACCCAATTACAACCCGGGGGCTGTTTAAGGAAGCCAGGGGAGAGGAGAGGAGGGGCAGATGAAGCAGTAGATGTGAAAGAGGAGTTAGCTTGTTTGGCTGACTGTAAAAGTATTGTTCTCAGATGAGCAGTCCTGACATGCGGCTCCACATGTCCCGATAGCTGTCCCTCTGGGGTTTGCGTTCAATAATTGAGTGTATCAGATAACTACTTGGATGGTTTCATGGTCTACATCAATACAAAGTCCCACCTCCAAC